ATATATGGAAAGCAATCTACAAAGAGTCTAGGCTCAAAAATACTTTAGAGTGATAATGTTGAGATAACAGGGAGGTGGCCTGTCTAACATCTGTTCCTCTTTCTCTCAGAAACTATCAAACTATCTAATTTTTTAAAAAAATTTCATTTGGTTTTACATTTTCTTTGGGTAGCTAATATGCTTTCATGGATGCTGACTTCAAGCTAGACTCAGTGGCTCAGGCATAACCTAATTAGCATAATCCCATCTCCTACTCACAGGGATGGGCATGTGACCCACTGTAGTCACCAAGGTGTGAGGAAGGCCTGGGGAGAAAGCTTCCTTGACCTTCCAAGAATGCTTCCAGAGTGCCTTTCTTTCTCCCTTTGTGAGTTATCATAGTAGATATGAAGGCTGGAGCTGCTGCAGCTACCTTATTGCCATGAGGGAAGTCTGTCTGAAGATACAGATGACACGGAGGGGTACTAAGTGCCAGATCTAGAATACAGATTGAACTGTGTGTGCCTGTTCACCTGCCCACCTGGGGATGTTTGTAGTGACTTAAACTGACAAGTCTCTGTTGTTTAAACTTGTTTTAGGTGAGCTTTCTGCTTGCAGCGGAAAGCATTTCAACTGACACGACTGGGTTAAACAAAGTTGGTTAGGGTACTTACTGAGGGCCCGCCCAGAAACTTTGTTTGACCATTGTTGTACTATTTCCCAAATTTATTTGGCTATGGGTTCTGTTCTTTCACAGTGCATCTCACAGGACAAGATCTAGTCTGACTCCCAAGTTTTACGAAAGTATAAACTGAGATCCAGGGATTTAAATAACTTTTCTAAGCTATTACAGTTGACCCTTCAACGACATGGGTTTAAACTGCATGGGTCCACTTACAGGTGGTTTTTTGCGCAGTTCAAAACCGTGTTGTTCGAGAATCACCTGTATTAGTAGTTAGTCACAGATCTGGGTCTAGCCTACAGGCTTCCTGACTCCTAGGCCTGCATTCTCGCTTTAAGGTCACAGGCCCCCTCTGCCCAAAGAGGTTAAGAGGTTCCTTTATTGAAGATAAATCTCAAAAGAATAATCTACTTTTATTATTATTTTTTTTGCAGAGACTCCACATTCTTGGATATTATAAAGCAAAGGTTGCAAATTAAGGGGCTCACAGGGGACACAAGAACTTTAGGTCAGATAAAATAGGTCTGAAGTACCTGAAAAATTATATCAGATACCAACACTTAAAAATCAGATTATTTCAGATAAAAATATTAATTTCTAGTTCTCTTAACAAAACTCAGACGGTCTAGCACCGCTAGGCCTATATTTCCACATGGTAACCAGCGAGAGCTGAGAGGCCAGCTCTGCCTCCTGAGATGAATACATGGGTCCCCCTGTTTGCCACAGTCCCCACCACTCTCTGTTGCATCCTATCACTGATGCTAAGTGTCCCAAAAAATATCAGTACACAAAAAATACTGCTTTCCTCTTTGTATCCAGTCTATTTCATTCAATTACCTTCCTGGCCCTATATATCAATTATTTTGCTATACTGGAAAAAGTAATAAATATTAAAAAATATTTTAAAGGTTCAGCTGGTTTGGAACAACACTGAGTTATTCAATGATGCATGGGTTTCTTTACTGCGTATCGCTGCTTAGTCCTTCCTGGGCCATGGGTTAGGAGGGCAGCATACATTCTTTTGGCCATGATGTCTTTTTTTCAGAGACCACCTCTTTGTCTCTATTATTCCACTAAATACGCTTTGGGAAATACTGCCATGAAAATTCCTTCGGTCCCTCCCTGCCTGTGAGCCTGCGGACGATGTCTCTTTTTGCGAGGCTTGCTATTACCTCGGCTTTCTGCTCTTCCCTGGAGGTTATTCTGAGAACAGAGCAGCAGTAGCCGGGTCTCCATCAGGCCAGCACCCAGCACAGGCCAGTCTGTGGGCTGATCAACACTGCTAGCCCCAAGAACAGGCCCGGTATTGTGGGATGCTTAGAGAGGAGGATTTCTGGCAGAGCGGGGAGAATAGGACCAGGCTAATTGAGGTCCACATGCATTCTTCCCCAAGGAACCAGCTTCCTGGTTCACTATCTTCTCTGGAAAAACAAACAAACAAAAAAAACCCAAAAAACCCCCCAAAACAAAGGAGAAAGGTGGAAAACAAAAAGTGATGGGGTAGATGGGGGACAGGAGAAAAGCAATCCTTTCTTAAAAAACAATCTCTTCAAAAAAAAGGCATGAGACCCCCCAACAGTATTTTTCCCTTTTATTGTAATTTCTTTACTCAAAGGTGACTAAATCTCAACTCCGGGTCGTAGCAACGACATTCCAGACAATGTGGTCTAGCTTAGAAGAAACCAACAACAACACCGCAAACAAAATCCTTGAGGTGAGATGTTTTAGACGCACGGCAGAGGCACCGCATGCACAGAGGCCGGAGGCTCCTCTGATGCCGAGGGAGGGCATGGGGTTTCTCTTAGGGGTGCCCTGGAGACAAATGAGTCTCCTCAGAAGCCTCCCCTGGCTACAACGTTCCAAGCGGAGTCTGGCTCATAAACCCGCCTCAGAAGGCGGCGGCCATGAATGGCTGCCATGTCACCCTGACGCAAGCCCCTTCCGTTCTGAGAATGACCGGAGCAACCGCAGAGATTCTGCCAAACCGAGGTTGAGACAGTCAGAGGGGAAGCATCACAGGGATGGTACTCCTTGGGAGAGATGGATATTTTCCTTATTTGCCAAGAAATCGAGCCTTCATGTGCTAGTGATTTGATCGTCTAAGTTTTCTACCAGCTGGACCAGAAAGCACTGAGTCACAGTAGTCCCTCTGTAAGCCCAGGCTGCGCGACATGTCACAGTTGAGACACACGCTAACTCTATTTTCTTCCCTTACTGACAGAGAGTATGTCCTTTTCCTAACAACCCAGTTTCGTGACTCGTTCAACAGAACCCTTGCAAAAACAATGACATGTAAAAAATAACATTAAATAATGAGATAAGACAGGTAGTGTGCAGTTTTTGCTGTGGTTGGGACAACATCAGAGAGGAAGCTTAAGGACAGGCTTGATGATGGAGCTAATATGAGTTTTATATTCTAAAAATAAAGCAATCTGAGCTTGCATATTGAACACTTACTCTATGTCAGGCATGGTACTAAGCACTTTCCGAGGATTATCTTGTGCAATTCTCATGCCCACCCAGGTAGTGTTCCAATTTTATGAATGACAAAATGAGGCTCAGGGAGATTAGGTCAGCTGCCTAAGTTCAATGTAGTTCGTGAGTCATGGAGACATTGTTCAACCCAGGCAGTGTGTCTCCACGCCTGCTGCTCCCCTGACAGACGGAGATGCCTCTGCCCCTTGGGGGTCTCCAAACACGCTCCCCTGTGCTTATGGCCACACTGGACTAAGAATGGATGAGAATTCACACACAGTTCTTAAATGTTGATCACATTTGAAACAGGTAAGAAAATGCCACATAATGAAGACCCTTCATTTTAATAAACCACTGACTCAAGCCTCTATTTTCTTATTCTTTTGTTTTCTGTTTTCTGGTTTTAGACCATAATCCTTACCATGGAGAACTGAACAGCATCGCTGAGATAAGATAATGTCATCTCCCTACTCCATCCCTTCTATAAACAGCAGCTGCAGTGGCAGCAGCAACAGGAGGGCCAGAGCTGGGCCCACGAGCCCACCCGACGTGCTCTGCTTTACCTGCTGTACACCAGGCATTCTCCATTGTTGATCACTTTATCAGATTGGTGCCTCCGGAGGTCTTCCCAAGCATCCTTGATGGCAGTGACTCCCAGGATGATACAGATTGGTATCATGTTCACCTCAGGCTGGAAAGCGTTGACCACGGGGATAAAATTCAGAACCGCGATGCCCACAAAATAGATATTGGCAAACCGGTGTAGCTGCTCGAAGGTGTTCTTGGGTAGGAAGGACAGCACGGTGTACCTGCTGGTCTTAATTTGATTCCCACAGTAATGTCTGTTGGGGTTTTCCTTGTGGGACCGTCCCTCGAAGGGCAGGTTGGAGACCACCACGCGTTTCTTGTCCTCCTTCCTTTTCCGCCTTCTCTCCCCTTCCTTTCTCATCGCTGCTCAATCCTGTCTCTTTAATTCTCATAGCATGGACAATGAGTTCCCCGTAGAAGAGGTTTTTCCCCGATCAGTCTCATTGTTCAGCTGTCGGGGAGTCATGCCCTGACATATTTTACTTGCCTTCTCTGCTGAAAATTTCTCTCTTCTTTTAAAAGGAAAAAAAAAGAGCCAGTGTACAAACACCAGGGGAGAAATATGACAAGGAAGAGCTTGCAAAGAACAGGTGTGCACCCTCCAGGCCACTTTCTTCTACTTGTTGAGACTCCACCTGTTGGAATGTAGACGTCATCCACAGGTGTCTTTCTTTTCCACGTCAGGCAGCCAAGAACAGGTGTGCCAACTCTGGGTCCTAAAACCTACCTTGTTAAGTTCTAAAAGCAAGGACTTTTAGCCAAGAGCCTCAGAGGCTTTAAAAATGGTATCCATTTTGTTTGAGAGACACTGCCTGTCACCCTCCAAAAGAGCTGCTTGTAAACTTGGTCTCCTGCAATGCTCCCGTCAACACTACACTTTAATTCTTGAGATTTCCACCCTATTATTAATAATATAGCATCCTTGAGTGTTTACTCAAGTTAAATGAAGGTTTCTAAGTCTCAGCACTATTGACATTTTGAGCTAGACAATAATTCTTTGTTGTGGGGGTGCTGTCCTGTATATTGTAAGATGTTTAGCATCATTCTCGGCCTTTATCAACTAGATGCCAGTAGCACCCTCCTTCCCAAGATGGCAACCAAAAATGGCTTCAGACATTGTCACATGTCCCCTGCAGGGCAAAATGACCCTGGCTGAGAATCACTGAATTAAGTGATTATAAGAAAATGTAACATGAGAAGACAGACTAATCTTTTGAAAGTCCTGATAAGTTTGTATAACCTATTCGTGTGAGAGAAAACAAAAGAATGATCTAACCTTTCATATATCCGGATGTTGGAGCAGTTTCTCTCTCTGTCGAAGCGGTGTCTCTTGAAGTCCTCCATGCCGTCCTTGACCATGATGATGAACAGCACAATGGCCAATGGTAGCATGGTGATTTCTCTGTGGAAAACTTCCATGGCAGGTATCCAGTTCAGAATCACCAGGAACAGGAAATAGAGGTTAGCCCATCTGGAAGGGGCAAGCAAGGTGTGACTGAACATCATGGAGAAGAAAACTATACTCTCTGCACTATTTCTTTGCTGCTGCTGGCCCTTACCGATTAGAATGACATTCTCTTTCACTGTCACCTCAAACACTATGGTAAGGGCTTTGAAACCAAATCTAGTTAGGTTCAAACTCAGTTCCTACTATTTACTAGTTGTGTGACCTTACTAAGCTTGGTTTGTCCTGCGTAGAATGGGGATAGTACTATCTACTTTAAAGGGCTCTCATAAGTATTACATGGATCATATTTATTATGTATGCAGTAGAGGGTTCTGGAACATAGTAGTTGCTCAATAAATGACAGCTTATAATAATGACAAAATTTAGGATAATATCGAAGTGCATAGTTTGCTTTACAATTAAAAGATTATTTGTCATATAGGATCTCAAAAGAGCGGCTTACATTTTGCAATTTTTTGAGTGCATGTTGCTCCCTCTTTCCATAGTACTTTTGCACACGAAGGTCTGTCCGTGGGAACGTTCTCCTGGCTCTCTTCCCTGACTTCTCTTTGCCTCTTTCCACCTGGTTAATGCATTCTCTTCTTTCATATTATTTTTCAGTTATCACTTCCTCCTGGAGTCTTCCCCTACCTTCTTAACTAGGCCAGGTTTCCCTCCTACTCTAACGGCACCAGGTAGTGCTCTTTGGAAATATCTATGTGAGTCATAATTTTACATCAATTTATATAATTCATACAATTAATGTCTGTCTCTTTCACTAGACAACAAAGTCAGGACTATATCTCTTTTTTCCTCAGGTATCTCTAGCACCCAACACGTGGCCTAACACAAAGTAGAGTCTGATATTGAATGAAAGAATGAATAAATAAATGACAAGTCTTTTCGAAGTATGTGCCTTTGGATATTAAAGGAAAGGTGGCCCAGAGGGCAGCATCTCTGAGTTGTCTGGGTGGCAGTTACTTGGTTAAAGTGGGTATTGTTTGGCCAAGTGCTTGTGTACCTGTGAAACTGCTCCAAGAGATTCTGGGGCAGGAAGGTGAAGAGGGTATATTTGGTCGTGCGGATCCTATTGCTGGAGTATCTCCTGGAGACCTTGGCCCAGTCTTGGTGGAACAGGACATTGTTGGGGAATACGACCCGCTGCTGCGTCAGGTTGTAGCTCTGTCCCCCCTTCTCTGGGGACAGCAGTGGTGTGGCTTCTGACGGAGACTGGAGGAGGCCATCTCTGAGTCGCCACTGCCACCGATGCCAAGAGGAGTCCACTGAGAGGGCCATTTCTGGCAGCAAGCTAAGGTCTGAAAACAGACACATGAAGTCCTTATGGTCAGAAGGAACATGTGGTATAGCAGTTCATCCATTTGTCCACTCACCTATACAAGGTAGGTTCTGGGATGCAGAGTCAAAAACAGGTTCGATCCCTATCATCCATATGTTCTAGGGTGGGAGACTTTCAGCAAAATAATTATATAAGTAATATACAACCAAGACTGCGGTAAGTGCCAAGAAAGCACCTGGGGGAAGTAGAAAGTGCTGATCATTTGGCTGGGGCCATCAGTAAAAGTGTGGCCTGGTGAGCTCTGACCCCAGAGGTCAGAATTCTAGCTCTGGTTCGCCGCTATTGCTGAACGGCCCCTTCACCTTGCTGGTCTTCGGTTTCCTCCCTGTAATGTGAGGAAAACTATTCTTATTCTACTTTTCCTACAAACTTTTTGTGAGGCATAAACTGAACAGTACATAAAAGTATGCTGAGCCATGTCTTAAAGGGAAAGGTGTTTTTCTTTAGGTTTTCTCTAGCTCTAAAATTTTCTAATACTGACGATCTTAGAGAGACCCTCGTTTGTGGCCAGAACCTCAGTTGAGAGTGATAGGTGGAACAGAAGAGAAAGTTCCTTTCCTAGGGAGTTTGGGCCTGAGGTGACTGGGCTGTGCTCAGTGTGGCTTCATGAACACCAGCTGGCTTTTTCTGGTCAGGCCGACAGGGGTCAGGGTGGGAGAGAGCTCTTCCTACCTCTCCACTCCATTTCATGGTTTCTGATATCGAGTCAAGCAGACAGTCTCCCTAGATGGTGGATGGATGCTGCTTTATCTAGGGTATTTCAGATTCTGAGCTCTTCACTTGGAAGTTATAAGCAAGTCCTCAAGGTTTCTTTTAACCGAATCTTGCTTAAAGACCCAGGAGGATATTATTCAAAGATCTCCTTTGTAAAGTCAGACGTAGGATATAATGGTGCTTCTCATTTAGTAAGCCTCACAGGATGATTTTCTTTTGAATAAATGAATGAGTGAATGTCGGATATTATTAATCTTACAATGAGCTATCCCACCTGTCATTGTAAATATGATTCACTTAAGGAGAAAGAAGTCCCATTTCTAGTTTAAATGGTAATATTTTTACCTTCCTGATGCCCATATGATCTGACCCTTATCATAATTCTCCTCATGACTTTAATCAATCCAAATGATTTTCAGTCCACAGACCCGAGGGCTGCAAGAAGCTCTTCAGAGTCTTAAGTGAACCCTTGTAACAAGCATTAAAAAAATAAATAAATAAATGCAATTACTGATGCCCATCATGATGTGACCAAAAGCAACATCATGATATTTGACAAGCCATAAATAATATTGTATATCTTCTTTCTCATTATAAAAAATGGATTTTTTTTTTTATTGTGAAAGAAAAGGAAATAAAAAGATAATTCATGAATAGAGTTGAAAATGCAAATGAGAAGTATTGCCTGGGCTAATGCCACACATATGAGACTTCTCAGAATTTTAGGTGATAAGATCTTTATGAATGAAGAGATTGGACTGATATGGGCAACTCAGGTATTTTAGGTGGGGTAGTTTAAATGGTCCATTTATCATAATCATATTCTTTATCAACAACATAAAAGCAGCTTTCTTAAAAATAAAGCAGACGTAAAATAGATGCCAGATAAGTGGATGAGAGTTTGATGAAGAACTGGACTTTTCCATGGATTCAAATACCTTCCCTCTCAAATTATTAATTACCATGCTTAAAAAAAAGAATCGCTTTGTAGTGAAGAAACCTGGCAGACACTACCTTACCCAAGAGATCAAAGCAAACACCACACCTGGAATAATCTGACCTCTTGTTCCTCCTGATGTGGTGTGCTGAGAAGGACATGATTTCACTCCTGTGGAAGTTACAAGGACACACTGAAAAACCCCGAATTGGGGGCTATTCTACAACATAACTGGCTTATGTTTTTCGACTGTTAAAAGTCAAAGAAAGGCAGAGGACTTTTTCCAATTAAAGGAGACTAAAAAGATGACAAATAAAGGTAATGTGTGATCCCGGATTGGATTCTGAACTAGGGGGACATAAAATAAGTATAAAGGACATTATTGGACAATGGGCAAGATTTGAATATAAATTGCAGATTAGCTAATAGTGTTTTAATAATGTTAAATTTCCCGATTTTAATAATTATATGGTGGCTATATAAAAAAATGTTTTTAGGAAATTCATCCTAAAGTAGGCATGGATAAAGAAGCAAGACATCTCAGTGTTTATAAAATAATGTATATATTTGTCTGTGTGTATGTATATATGTATACACACACGTACATAAAGGTGGCCGAGTCGGGAAGACTTCCTGGAGAAAGGAATACTTATTTAAACCAGGTACCTGAAGAAATGTGTAAGAGTTAGATAGGTAGGGAGGTTGTGGAAGGTTGTTCCAGGTAGAAGAACTGGTTCTAGGAACAGAAAGTTCACAGGAGGCTCCTAAAGGGTATGCGGAGGTGGGGAACAAAGAAAGGTGAAAGCTGAGGCTGGAGAGACAGACAAGGGCCAGACAGCCTGGGAAGGCCGTTTGCTGTGCTGAGAGCAGGTGGGGTCCTGAAGAGTTTTTGGCAGTGACAGGATCAGAGCTGTGGACCCCAGGATTTGTTCTGGCCCAAGCACACGAGAACAGGCTGGAGGCCCCGATGCTGGGGCCAGTGCTCCCCCTTTCCACCAGTAAATTGCTTTCTTTGCAAAAGTTGAGCAGGAAACAAAGGCAGATTGTGCAGTCCTTTTATTTGAGGTGTGGTTTATTACTGCTTTGAGAAAGGGAAGGGCCTGTCTGAAGCAACTCTCCAAGGTCCTCCCAGTTGTAAAGTCTTTCTTCTCATTCTAACTTTCAGAAACGGCACTTCCCACTAACGATAAACTCTAGTTTTGCTAATTCACACTCATGTGACTCTGGCTTGAAGTGGTAATTGTCTCCAGCACCAACATAAGTTTTTCCTGAGCAGAATGTCCCCTAGATGGCAGTCTAGGGGACATTCCTATATGGTGGACCATTAGCCCAATATACTAGGTTAATTACAGTTTGCTGAGATATCCTGTTCCCATCTCCAAACACTTGCCGTCCTGCCTGATCCACAGTTCTAATTAATCACGGTTCTTGTCTTTTTCATTTTAATGAATCCCAGTAAACTCCATCTTTAGCAAACTCCATTTTTACCATTAGAGGTCAATCAAGCAGTCATCCATTGAGTCAACAAATACTTACTGAAACGCTTGCTTTTCACCTGGTGAGTAAAGCCTGTGCATCCACCCCTCTCTTCTGGAGCTTGCACTCTAGTGAGGCTGAGACATTTTAAACACACGCCATGGAAATAAATACATATTCACCAACCAACATAAGTGCCACAAGGTAGAACAGGGTGAAATGTTGATCATATTACAGAGGGATGAGACCTCGTCCCTGAAGACGTGGGGCTTGAGCTGAGATCAGGGGATGAGTGAGAGGTAACTGGACGGATTACTGCGTGTGTATATGTGTGTATCTCTCTGTGTTGTATGTACAGATCTGTGCTGTGTGTATATGTTGTGTGTGTTGAACACGTGTATGTGTCTAAAAGTGAGCATCCTAGGAAGAAGGCACCTTTGCAAACTTCCCGTGGCTACGGCAAACATGTTGACTTTAGAAAATGGAAAGAAGACTCAAGCAGGAGTAGAGAGCAGGAATAAGTGGTTACTGCAAAATTATTTCCCCTTCCTGTACAGTTCTCTAAAAAGTATATAAGTTGGTCAGGACCATGGGGGAAAACAGCCCTATAAAATTCAGTCTATACTAAAATACTACACTATCCTGATATTAGAATTAATTGGAATCTAAGACAGTTTGGCCTTAACAATAGGCATTTTTAAAGCGCTCTATCCTGAAGACAAAATGTATAAAAGTCACAAAAAGAATTTCCTGTTATGTACCTAGTTAACGAACAATAAGTACCTTAGAAGAAATAGTCTGAAGTTACCGTATCCTCAAATCAATCAATTGTATCAGTTTTCCTCAAACTGCAATCATTCTTAAGTCACCTTTCCAATTTTTGCTAGACCACATACCATTTGTTTCATTAAATGCAATATATTTTAAGTCAACTTACTTGTTAAAGCTAAAATATCAATTTTGGCTTTATGTTAAAGTATTGCTATCTAAAATTAAGGAGTTTAACATACTTTTTCCTCCCACATGTACTAACAAGACCTACGTTTAATAAACGGCCTGTTACTGCAACATTGTTCTAGACCTGCTGTATCTCTCTCTATTTGCTGTTCTGAGGACCAGGTTCAGAAACACATCACCAATCACTCGGAAGCATCAGTCATTTTCATTATTTGAGACTTACCTACTAATACAGAAAAGGCTGCTAACATGTTTGCAAGTTTGTGTGTGTTTGTGTGTGTGTGTGTGTGTGTGTGTGTGTGTGTGTTTCCTACAGAAGTGTCCAAACTGCAACAAAAGGTTTTTCATCAACCCTGAATTAAATAAAAAACCCAGTGAACTAAATTCCTACCCATTCCCCAAGCATTCTACTAGATTAAAAAAAAAAATTGCAGTAAAACAATCTTATTAATTTCTTATTCATTTTGCTTTTCACTTATTTTGATTGGATTTGCTTGAGGAAATGGCCATCATCTTTATGTACTTTTATTTTACACATACCCATTTTACAGATGAAGAAACAAAAGAAAGGAGAATACGATAATTTCTCTAGAATCCAAGATATAATCCTCCTGCTCTCCTCATATTTTAAGGTTTTCAAACTAACATCAATAATTAATATGGTAAAGTTCCATTTTTTTATAACTTCACAACATACTGTTAAATTAATGGCATTTTAGATTCAAGGAAATACGGTTAGTTGTAGACAGGCATATAGACACCGCCATTTGAAAACACCTAAGATTTCCAGTTCTGGTGCCTGCCCAGGAAATTTCAGCAAGGCCTTTGTGGGGGAAGAGTGGTCACAGTGGGGAA